GATTCGACCGCAAAATCTGTAAAAGTAATAACTGGAAAGCATTGATTCCATCGAAAGTATTGGACTCAAGTGGGCTCTATCTATCTAAGTTACAAGTATTTAACCCTGGACGTGCTGCGTTAGTCGATTCGACTAACAAAAATCGTGTTTCGCTTCGTACCTCCCTTTGAAGTCATTTACCATTTTGTTTATTATATGTAACAGAGAAAATAATATCTATTTAATATTTTGTTTATTTGTTTGAAAAACTATAAAGAACTAAAGAACTGGTTTTTAACTGTTTGACATTTCAATTCAAAGTTGGTGTTAGTCGTTTCGACTAACAAGCCGCTGACAGGGCCAAAAGAGCGAAGCACTTCCAGGGTTAATGTCTAGCAACAGCGCAACAACCTATGTAGGTCCTGGAATCATTAGATGAGATAAAATAAAAAAGTAAAAAAAAAAATAAATAAAAATAAATAAATACAAAAAAGAAAAATAATAAAAATAATAAATATAAGGTTCTTTAAAAAATTAAAAACATATAGAAAAAATTTAAGAAAAATTAAAAACTAAATAAATTAAAAAATAAAACTAATATTAAAATGTTTTTAAAATGTGAAATTAAAAGTAAAAAAATTTAATTAATTTATAATAGAAATAAATTAAAAACAATGAAAATTAAATGAAATCAAAAAATTTAAAAATGAAATTAATAATTGAAAAAAAATATAAAAATAAAATATGTTAATAAGAATTCGAAGAAATAAAAAAAAAATCTTTTGTAAACAATAAAACAAAATAAAATTTAAGAAAGAAATAGAAACAAAAAAAGTAACAAAAAAATATCTAAATTTACAAAAAGTAAATTGATAAAAAAAAAATGTTTATACTTTTAAATGAGATAATAAATTATCTAACAATATCTATCTAATAGAGATCTAAGAATTAAAAGAAATATATTTAAATTAAGAAAAAAATTAAACTAGTTTCTAAAAAGTAGATGAAATTGCAAAAAAAACACTAAAACAATCATATCACAAAATATAATAAAAAAAGAAAATAAATTTGTGAAAAAATTTTTAGGAATTAATTAAAATTACAAAATATATAGATACTTTTAAAGCAATAAAAAAATAATTAAAACAAGATAAAAAAATAAATAAATTTCTAAAAATTAATCAAATTAGAACATTTTTTCTTCTAAAAATTGAAAGAAATGTAGCTACAAAAAGTTTCTAAAAAAATCCATTTTTTCTTTTTAAAGAAAAAAACACTAAAAATTACTATAAAATTATATTAAAAAGGAAAAAAAGATTTCCCGAATGGTACGCCAGAGATTTGCTCACTCGGCCGCTGATATTGTTAGAACAGCGCGAGCAAATTGGTATACAAGTGCTTTCTGTCAAAAGAACTTTTCACGATGAAAGTTTACAAGGCAACAAATTTTTGTAAGACTTTATTGCCAGAATAAATAAAAACTTTTAAACCAACTTGCCTACCGTCTTTCAATTGCCTTACAAAAGACTTGCAACTATCTTGGCCAGAATTGCCCTGTATCCTGTAATATGTATCAAGTCTTGGGAAGTTAATAAAGTAAAGTAGTAAATAAAGAGCTTTTGTCGGGATTTTGTTACGCGCATATTTTGGCCAAAAAGCCTAGTCATCGTGACAGCGTGAGTGTTTCATAAATAAGTCTTTCTCTCCTGGTCTACTCAAATTCATTATTCCATCCAGCTATTTATACAAAGAAAAGCAACAATATTTATTTATGTAGGTATCCAGAAACGACCTTCCCGCGCCTCAACTAAATAATTCATTAAATCATTTACTATTTGTGATCACTACCAATCAACTTCCGTATGTGGCACGCCAATATACGTAGCAATTTCAAATAAACACATCCAAGGTAGCAATAAATTCTCTCCATCAATTAAACATTTCGACACCATTTCGCGTGAATACAGAAATTCCCCAAAAAGAAGTATATTGAAAAAAATGCAAAAAATAAATGTGAGGAGGAGTAGCAAACTCATACATATTTAGGCAGATTGGCTGAGTGCCCCAAAACGTTGTCGAAGTCACCAATATATCCGCTTGATCTTCACCGCTTAGGACAGCTGGGCAGAACCAAAAATAATTATGAAATAAAACAAAAATCAGATACGCACAAAAGACATGGGCAGTGACGAAGGGAAAAAGCACAAAAAGCAATGCGCCGCTGTCGGTCGCAATGCGAAATCAGTTGTGGAGAATCAATGCAGGCGGCTGTCAGGCAAACAGGCAGCAAAGTTGTTGATGCTCAACCGATGTTTATAAACTTAAAGGCTGTAATCACATTAGCATCAGAGCCTTTAGTTATCACCTGTGATGCCGAATGTGGCAACGAACGAGTCCACATATGTATGTATGTGTGTATGTACATACAAATCCACAAATATGCAGGCAAAATGGTAAAAGAATTGTGGCATGAAGGTAAGAACGAGTATATTTAGAATTTACCCATATGAATGTATGTATGTATTCATGTATGTATGTACACTTATATGGAACGACAACAAAAAAGAATATCCTACGATCAGCGGCAGCACGTACGCGTGCGACTTGTGGCATATACGCGCGATACTCCATTGCCGCTGGGGCAGCCCTCAGAAACTGTTGGTTGTGCGCTTGCCCAAAAGTTTCAAGCTGCGCCTGCGCTATTTTGATTCATCTAAAAAGTGTTTACCTCTGGCTTCCACAAACTGGCTGCCACTATATTTTGCTGCACTGCTACGCTGCTACATGCGACTTCTTCTTCACTGCTCTGCTTCCGCACGCAGCTACTAACCAACGCAATTGTGTGTGTGCGTGTGTGCCAAAAACCTTTGGGGCGCGTCGATGTGCTGAAATAAATGGGCGTTTCACTTACTTGCCTCACGGTGAGGGAGCACCACTGGAAGAAGGGAAAAAACAATAAAAACAAACCTTGTGAATACATTTCAAAGGGAAGCAAGGAGTTTCGAAAATAAAAAATATCTTTTACAGACGTGTTGATGTCTATTAAGGCGAATAAATATTTTTCGTACAAATTGAGGCAG